CAGAATATATCGTTCCGCCACCGGGCATAGAATGTTTCAGTTCCCGAACGATCCCGACTGTGAGAGGAAAATGGGTGAAATTTGTCCGCAGACAAAGACACGATCTTAACGATCCAACTTGGCCGTAAACGTCGCTTTGTTGGGAAAATTTTGAAGAAAATTTTGCTATGAGTGAAACTTTTCCATATTAAACAGCATGATGAAGACCCAAGAGATGAAGATGAGGCCCTTTTGAGAAACGACACTGTGCCAACCAGGGACACTAGTTTTGTGTTTCTGTTCCGTTTCCTTAAATTGTTTTTCTATTTTTTCTCTTTGCATACTAATACTGCTTAGAAAAGTCATTCCAAAAATTCAGCTCCTTTAATGTACAAATAACTTAAAAGAAACCCAGTTGAAATATCATCAAAGGTGGCGGATGCAAAAGTAAGGATAAGTGAGGTAATTTCCAATTGGACATACCATATTATATCTGTATCGCCATATACACTGTACCTTAGATTCTCATTTTAATCTCGGTCAATTTATTTATATCAGATATTTAACCTGTCATCGAGATATTCGACCCCGGAGAACGATGGCCCCTTCGTCAATAAGTATTACGTAATCGCTTTCGCGTCAAAAGAAGAGAACACTTTAAGGCGCTGGTTAAGATCTTGCCGAACGTCTTAAGCGCCGTTTATACTGCGTTCCACCATAGTACGATCACGTACCTATTCATGATTTTTTGCCTTTTCCCTACGTGTACTATGATTGCTAGGAACTCATTTTTAAATGTCTTAGTATAATTATTAAGATATCCAACTAATTTGTACGTTTTTAAGGTCCGCCATGAGTGTTTTTCGCTATCTACGCGCGATGTTGTTGGTATCTCAGCTCACTCAGACCAATAAGGCGCAGCCAACAGTAAATTGTCAAAACTCATAATCACATTCTTGAGGGGCACGTGTTTCAAAGATTGACAGTCCACAGCGCCACCCAGTGTCACGTGAAGTGCTAAGATGACTGCCTGTGGGTATCCATGAATTATTCCCTCTGTTCAAAGAAAATAACTGTGAGCTCAACGACACTAACAAAGACGCAGAAAAAGCTGCAATGATATGGAGGAAATTATTATGATTTGGTGAGAAGCTAGACGGTGAAGGAGAGAGGTAGAATCGTTTGCTGTTGATAGAATTATTTATTTATTTTTTTTTGTTACTTACATTTTTATCACAACATAGCGCGCGCGCAAGGCCTACCTATATCCTAAGGGAGCTACCATGATAAAAATCATTATTTATCATATAAACTACGATGTTATACAAAGATCTGTAGCTCTGACAAAAGCCGTAAGAACACACGTGAAAAAATACGATATTTTTTCACGTGTGTTTGATAACGCCAATCAGCTGCTGACACATCACTCGCCTTTCGCGTCACTCGGCCAGGTTGATAAATGAACGGTAAAGCCCTCAACATTCTCAATACAAGGTAGTTTGTCCGCAGAACTTTCTCGGATTATGGCGGCTAAAACATTTAAAAATTTCGTACAGCTTACAGGGAGTGACGTTCAAACTTTCCTAGAAGGGAAAGAAAACCAATATATGAAAAAAAAACCCAAAGTTACGTATTCAGTGACTTTGGTAATGGCCTTTGTCGTGGCTGAGAACGGAAATCGACAACTGGAAGATTTGTCACAGGCGGATTTTGGCTGTGTGCTTGAAAGACTTCTTCTGTCGGTAAGTAAAAAGTCAATAGATGAGAATTTTGTAAATTTAAAATTCCGCCCATTGTTGTTTTTTGTAATCACGATTCAAAGCATTTTTTCATCTTGAGCCTTAGCGCCAACGCACTGTACGATTGTCAATTCTTCAATTTATTTTCTTTCATTATTGAAGTTAGCTTTTTTCGTCACTAAAGCGCTATTGTGTTTATATGATAAACAAAATAATACATGGTCGCTTGTAGATAAGAAATTTCCCTCTGAGTGTTCAACTCGACATTTCATATCGACGCGCGCCCATTTTTTTTTTCTCTAAAAATAGTGCACGTCTGTGCATCCATAACATGACTTGTGCAGTATCACTTCGGCTAAAAGTCCTGTCGAGTTTAGCGGCGATAATTCAAAACTATCAGTTAAGACTATTTTTCCGTTCTATCCCTATTGAGATAGACCTTTGTAGCTCAAAATGAAAACAAAATATGCTGAATAAGACTGGTTTCGAGAAACAATAAGCATTTCTTCTTCTCTTCAAGCGACGAAATTAGTTTCGGAGTTGACAATACTTTATTCACAAACGCGATGGGAATTACGGCTGAAAACAGAACTGAGTATTCTGACTTCAACTGAGGCTTTGCGACGCTGGGGACTCTTCATTAAAACGGAAAATATTACTTTGAAGCATTGTTATTTACCAAAGTTTTGTTCAATAGAAGATTTTGTTTTGAAATCGTACAATTTTCAGAATTTTTAACTCAAAGTCAAACAATTTTCAGGTTGCAAATTTTGGTAAACAACAATTCAAGCAGCATAAACCTATCACAAGTGTCTCGTAGATGCGAGACATCCGTAAGTTTTTGCTCAGCTTTTTGAATAGTTGATATCAGTTTTGAGGGTTCATACATATCTCCTAAAAGTATTATTAAATAGCAGATTTTAATTTTAAAAACCGTGCAATTATTTCAGAATTTTCAAAATCTTCAACATAAACCTACGCAATTTCTGGCCTTGAATTCTAGTAAACAACGATTCAAGCATAGTGAATCTACTACGTGCTCTCGTAAATGCAAGAAATTCGTTCGTTTTTTGCCTCTGAGCAGAAAATGTTCAATTCTTTGAATAAAGATTTGGTCTCGAAATATTTCTTGCTCGTTTTTACCTTTTCATTTATTCATAGTTTTCAGGTAGAACATGATTACCTGGTAAATCGGACATAGTTGAAATAAACTCTATTTTATCGAGCACAACTTGTGTCTGCATGCTACGTTATAACGAAATTTTTTCAGTTCATACTTTAGCTGTGCGTGTATCGAGTTATGAATGCACTTGGGAAGTTTGAAGAGAACTCAAGCAACTCTTACGCTTCTCTCGTGCTCTTAAAACTTATATCCTGCGTGCATCTCTAACTTGATATACGCACGTTAAGCATGTAGCAATTCTTTATTGTACGTCACCCGCCCCCTCCCCCCCTCAAATTCACTTATGAATATCTGCACCGCTGGACTTTACTTTAATCAAAGAATAGTTTAAGAAAAAAGTTCATTTTCAATTAGGGTGAGGAAGCTACATTCCAGATAATATCGCGGCGTTAATAGACGCTGCAGTCAGAATCCCTGCCTCAATGGAGGAGTATGTTAGGAGATTTGTGACAATCACAGCCCCAGGTTTAACTGTACTTGTTCTTACAAATACACTGGTAAGCGTTGTGGTCAGATTACACATCCAAGAAGCTGCATAGCTAACAACGGGGCCTCGCAATCAGGAAAATACGATGATTCAGCCAATAAACCGTTTTCTGTTTACTATGACTTGCAGTCAGAACCTGGCTTTGTATGGGCATTGATACAGTCGTTATCCTTTGCCAATGAGGCCACATATAAGGATAAGGGGTTTGGCACGGATTTCCCCGTGAATGACAATAGCAATGAACCGGACTGGAACTGTTACCGCTTTTCCTTATCACTTATGCGGTCTCTCTCAAACCACTTCACACATCTGAGAGTAACATGCAACTTCCCTGCAGATGGCCTGCGGTGTACGGACTACGCACGCGCTGTTCTGGCAGATCATTACATATTCGGTGACTGAGGTGGAGATTGAAAACTGTTTAAGTATATTAACATCCGTCGTATTAACTGTTCTGATTGCACCACCTACACAAGAATGAATCTTAATGGTGCTTAGTTCGTTAACAGTTTAAAAAGCAAGGAGAAAGAATGCGACTTTGATGGATCTGTAGGAGCCGTTGACAACGAAAATAATTTTGGACGGTATCATTCCGGAGCGATAAATAGGAATCACCGCTGCTCCTCTTCGGATTCTTCTTCAACGCAGTACTGGTTTGGGGTTAGACATGAATAGGTTATTCTAAGTTCCAATAATCTACTAAAGCTAGAATGAGTTGTGAGTATTAGATAGGTTTTTGTTTTCTTTAAGGATTCTGACCTTTTTTTTGGTTGTGGTTGCTTTTTTGTTTTGCTTTGTTTTGTTTTTTTTTTTTCATAAACGGCCTTTGGTTTCTCGAAAATTGTCTGTTTTGAAATCGAAGAAATTGATTTTGAGTCTCGTTACCGTTCCACTTCCGTTACCATTACCGTCAAACCGAAACTATAAAGACAGCCAATCAAAACAAAATATGATATCACGGGAACCATTCAGAATTCAAAGACTAACAAGCAAACCGTTGTAATCTGTGATTGTTTTTAGCTTTGCATTGCTTAGGTAGAAGATTAGCCCGAGCTTTATATACCAAAAATGCAAAGCTAATGCAATCCTGGCTCCCTTTTGAAGCATAAAAACAAGAACAAAATTGCGCTGTGATAGTAGTTTAATAATAATTCATGGCTAGTATACGTAAGCTACAATACGAATATGTTCAAATACGCCCTAGGAACCTTAAAAAAAACTTATATCTGTAACATACACAATATAATATAACATAACATGGTTCGAAATTAAATTAAAAAGCCTAAAAAATTGAAATATGTTATCTTCAGGAGTTAGAACAACCAAGGGTAAAGACCAACTGGGGTCTTAGTTGCTATTCAACTAAGTTGCATAGCTTAAGACGAAGACTGAATTGCATAGTTTCACTAAGTTTGTTTGTATAGGATTTGATAGCTATAGGAAGGGGCATCATCACATTTTATTTAATCACCTGAATGCTGTTTCATCAATTTACATACCCTTAGATATTACTTTGTTATTTTTATTTAGAGAGAAAGAGAAATTTGTGGTAAAATAACTCGAAAACCGATCTCTTCTGCAGCCTTGTAGATACATCTCAGGAGTCAGCAGGATGATAGAAGTCCACTTTCATAAATTTGCACAAAGAAATCTTTACATCTTTGAAGTCGAAAACGATTCACTTTGTATCTGTTGTCAAGAGGAAGAGTTTACCATGTACCTGGTCGAAGGATTTGGAAAGTGGTTTAATGATAAAATGCCCTCTCTTTCTCACCAACCGGCTTCAGTCAAAATTTTCATTTAGGAAAGTCCCTTTCGAGACTGATCTAATTACAAAAACTTCGAATTTCTCCTTCTTCTTTGGCTAATTACTATCAAGCCTAGCTTGACCGTCCAGTTTTGTGTAACATTAGTGTACAGATTTGCTTGTGAATATTATGAAAATAAATGAAACTTCGTATAACGAAACTATAAAGGATTACTCAGTTATTAGATGATTTCGAAATTTTTACTTTGTTATTGTGAGTTTGTTTGTTTTGTTTTTGTTAAAGCTTGAAGTTATAGGAAGTTATTTTATTATTTCTTTTGTATTTTTAGGATGAAATAAGTTGCCATCCACAACCGAGTGTAAAATGGTAGCTTATCTAAGATAATTATAATTTTTATTGGGGAAACCAGAAGGCCCCCTTAAAGCTAAAAAAATAATGACACAATCTCTATCGTTTTCTGTTAAAGAAGCGGCTACATCCCTCACCGACAAAACATTGATCTAATTCAACTATTTACGATTATTTCTGGCTTCTAAATCAAGCATACTTACTTAATAAGTTAGAGAGAAGCAACGAAAACTAAAAATTTAACGACGTAACATTTGTGAAGGTTTTTCATTGCAAAATGATCTCATTACACTAATTTCCATAACAAATTACGATGTTTGATTTACAGTACTCGTGTTTATTTTGAATTTCTGCCATATACAGATTCTTTTTCATGAAGTTTTTCAAACGAGTACGTACTGTTTATTATCGGTTTGGCACGGACGATCATTTTACGGCCTGGGTGCCTGTCTTACGTCTGGGGTGGATGACTGCAGAAAAAAAAAGACATCAACAATAATGCCTGGAGAAACAGTAAAATTGCTTCGGGTTGTATTCTAGTTCAGCGTTATTATTATTAATACTTCTAGTTTTGATCCCTAGTAGACTCCTCGATGGTGAAGTCTGACCTTAATCTCTCCTTCTCTAGTTGACGCTTTTAAACTGTGAATGGATGGCATGCGTTCTTGGATAATTCATATCATTCGGTTCTTGTTCAAAATTTACATAATGTGAGGAAGTATCAATGATAACAAGTGTCTAATATTATCATCTATGTTCCTTATTTGCACATCTTTCTAGAGAAGGGTCAGCGTTTGAGAAAGATTTTGTGATATTTTATCATTTTTTCATGCAAATTTTTAAATTCATGAGTGAAACTTTACACATCGTTGGGCCATTGAAACTTCGAATGAAATATCACTGGCAAAGTGTGTTGATCAAAACAAGTTAGACAAATAACAACCGGGTCAATTATTGGTTTTGCTTGAAAATATAGATAAGTTGAGTGTGTAACGAACGTAAAACTTTCCATCACTTATCAATTACAACGTGGAAAAATAGCCTCGGGGGCCCATTTCCACATGCAAGCTTACGTTCAGGGTGTTAACTCATCTTAGGTTTTTCCAAGCAGCAGTTAACTGATGCAACAATCATGTTAGTGTAGTCACCTCGGGTTAACTCGAACAGGCACCTCAATGACTTCAACAGCTTTCCCTCGTTCATCTCTGATTCATGGCCAAGAGATAATTGTGAAGGTGATTATGACAATTATAGATAATTAGGGAGCTATGTGCCTTATTTTGCTACCATTCGTTTGTTACATGTGATGTGTAAGGATGACTGCTTGTATATATAATCATTATTCCCTCGGTTCAAATCAAGCAACTGAGAGCTCAATGATGCCAATCAAGATATGAAGCCATTAGCGATGAAATTTAGAGTAGGAAGAAATTACCATAATCAGGTGAGGAGCTACACTGTGCCAAAGATGTGGTAAATTTAAGTTGTTTAGTCTATTTTATTCAATTTACTAGGCAGACGAATATCCTGAAGTGATCTGCTCTGTCAAAAGTGGAATTCTTATCATGAAAATCAAATAAAACAGGCTACAGTAAATTTCTGCCCCTTCTTTCAAGCTCTTTTATGTGGGTAGCTTTTCTTCTTAACTCGTCAAAATATCGGTTCTCTTGGCAAAATGAGGCCAAAACTGACGCCCTTTTACCATTAATTTTAAAAATTAAAAAGTTTCGGAACATTACACATTAATAGTCACCGCGACAGAAGGGCTACCATGTTCGAAAGTCGAACTTGACGGGGGGTCTTCATATTTTGAAAAACATTACGATTCTTATTTAAAACACCTTTTAAAGCTGCACTTATGAACCTAAATAATTCACTTAAGTTTTTCTAGTTTTTCGGTTTATTGACTACAATATTTAATTTTTTCCACTTCGGTGAATAATTACTAACTGGCTCTACAGTCAGAACTTATGTGTTTTTACAGTCAACGGATACAACATAAGATCAGAGTTTGTTAGCTGACTGGTCTGTATTCTATTTCTTTTCTTAAAGCTGGAAAAGAAACCAGCCATACGGTTGCGAAATTTATAGGTGTAGCGAAACTCGAGATATTATCATTCATCGATGGAAGGAAAGCTTACTTTAAGAGCTTTCATTAATATTGTATATCCTATACTCCTATGGTAAAAAAATAAAATGCGACCCTTTTTAAATATTCAAGTGTGAATAATACATTCCAAATCGTTCTTAGAGTTGACTTTGTAGAGTACAGAGATTCATAAGTGCATCGCTGAAAGAGGATCTTTTAACAACTGATGGTGGGTAGAGTTTCCCTTTTTTGGTTTTGTAACGCAAAACATTTTGAGACGTCTCTTATTTTCAAAACGCTTTTTTTAATAAATGACACGCACGAAACTTTTGAAAGTTTTACGTTTCAAGAAACACTCCTTAAACTTGGGCGATTTGATACATGAACGTCAGTCTTTGATAAAGTTCATTACAGCGGCTGTTTCACTGAGATTTGATATACTTCGACATTTAGCTTTGCATTCAACTAACTGCAACCGACATACTTTTAATCAGCAATTACTCGTTCGTGTATTTTTTTGTATATCAGTTCCATTTGCCAATATATCTCCCTCCATTGTAACCTGGGCAATGAAGAGACATCCGCATTTGAGCTGACAATCAATTCTTTATAAACTGTGTTCAGCTTAGGTTAAACTGCAGGGAACGTTTACGGCTCCTTTTGTAGAGCATTCCTAACACAAACCGTCGAGGAGCAATTTCGTTTGGGCTTGAATGTTTGCTTAGTCTTCTTTTCAAAATTCCGTAAATATGTGATTCTGTAGTGAAGATCGACTTTACAGCGAGACGGATACACTCTTTTCAGTCTTTCAAAACTTTTACTGACTCAGAAGAAGGTCTCAATATGGTAATGGCTCTTTCGGCTAACGAATAAAATTTTGGCAATTTACTGCTAACTATTATTTTCTTTCCGTCGCAATTAAGCAAGAGACCCAAATATCTATATGTTTCGTTCCAAATTACCCCATGCTTATCAGAAATAATCATGTATCTTTTTTTTTCTTCACATTAGTAGTGCTATTGCTATGGGCATCGTACAATATCTCCAAGTCGTGCTGTTTGTATTCCATTTGACCCTCTCCACTGAGGCACAGAAAAAAGTAACTTGTCAAAACTTCAAGTTTGCTATCGATGACGATGTCATCCATAACCAAATTCTTGAGGGTCACGTGTTTGAAAGATTGACAGTCCCAAACGCCATCCAGTGTCACTTGAGGTGCAAAGATGACTGCCTGTGTGTATCCATGAACTATTTCCCTCTTTCCAAAGAAAACAATTGTGAGCTAAACGACGCTAACAAAGACATGGAGCCAGCGGCGATGAAATGGAGGCAAGGGGGAAATTATTATGATTTGGTGAGAAGCTACACGGTGAAGGTGAGATAAGATTATTTATCTAATTCCTTATTCATTTATTTTTTAACTTTCTTAAATGAAGTAAATATCCCAAGATGTTCAAGTTCGTAAATAAAATGAATATTTCCGCATGATCAAGTTTTGCGGTACTCCTTAAAAAACAGTTGTGTTATATGTCAGTCCGGGCCAAAGACAATTTTGTGCATACCGATCATTCTGCGATATGATTGATCTAGACAAAACTAAAACAAACTGATTTGGCTAAGAGAGGATTGGGTTCATTCTCTTCCTCGCAAATTTTTCTCATAAAGGCCGTGTTGTAATGCGAAGGGAACGGCACAACAGAAGTGACTACAAATTTCATAAAGACATCATTGACTTTACCATTGTTGTATTACTGCATTTCAAATCTAATTTTGATGGATATTTCATCTCCATTCTGGCGCCCCGCTATGTGTTGTAGGCACTTGTACTTTGCTCGCACTGTTTGTTATCGATTCGATCCGTTTCCGGTGAGATTTGTCGCCGGTTGCTAAAGCGCACATGCCAACCTAATTCGGTGAGCATGGTAAGCTAAAAAATCTTTCGAATGTTGCTGTAGGGTAGAGACAAATACACACCAGAGAAGCATCATTGCATCGACAGATGTTGCCGCACCAATCCTTGTCTCAATGGAGGTGTATGTCAAGAGATTTGTGACGCTCACAGCATCAGGTTTAACTGTACCTGTCCTATCACATACTCTGGTCAGCGGTGTGAGAAGATGAAACATCCGAGAAGCTGCAAAGACGTAGCTAAGAACGGTGCCTCGACATCAGGAAAATACGACATCTCAAATTCAGACAATGAACGGTTTTCTGTTTACTGTGACTTGCAGTCTGAACCTGGCTTTGTATGGACGTTAATACAATCGTTATCCTTGTCCAAGAGAAATGCCTTCAATTATGCAGAGTTTGGCAAAAACTTTGAGATTGACATTAGAGAGGGGGAAGTGAATTGGAGCGAGTACCGACTATCCTTATCACAGATGCAGTCTCTTGCTATTTACTCCACACATCTGAGAGCAACTTGTAACTTTCCTACGGATGGTCTGCAGTATACGGACTACGCACGCGCTAAGCTGGCAGGTCATAACATTTTTGGTACCTGGGACACCTGCCAGATGTACGAATATGTTAATATCCGGGGAAACTCTTGTTCTAATTGCACCGCCCTGACAAAACAGCAGGAAAATGTGTCCTGGCACATAAGGAGTTACAGAAGCACACAATTCGGATGTCAATTAGATGGAAAACCAGGTGGAGTCCCCGATGAAAAAAATTTCGGAACATTTCACAACCTGTATATAAATCCGGATCACCGCTGCTCGTCTTCTCCTGCTTCTACAACGCAGCATTGGTTTGGAGCTAAATGTGACGTGTGACTTTTTGCAAATTCATTTCCTTTCTCAGAAAAGGAAACAAAGCCAACTGAATGCAAGAAAACATCGGAGCAAGGCTAAGAACTAACAATGACATCATGTGCCTCCAAGTTTGGTCCAATTAGGAGTTGAACTTGAACTAAACGTTTAATATTTCAGATAGTTACACCGACTCTTTATTACAGTAGAATGCAGACGTGCACAAGAGCGACGTCATAAGCAACCTTAGGTACACAGCGTCTATATTTCAATAGTTGAAGTAAGTAGGTGGCCTCTCTACAAACACTTTTTACCTGCACTTTCATCTTTTCATGTAATGTTCAATAGATAGCACACTTACATCCTAAAAGTCAAAGGTCGATAAAATTGGCTTTTTTCATATTCGTGCATGAAAACGCATTCAGGGCTCACCATCAGTTGATTTATGCAAATTCTTTTCAAGCAAGTGACTAAGCGTAAGTTGAAATGCTTGTGTTTAGATTCAGAGATGTTTAAATACCTCCGTATGCTATTAATCTAATTATGACATGTTTTGTCGTCGTAAGGTGACATTTTCTTGACTCGGTCAATCAACCGTTTTCTATTTACTGATAATTGAAAATTAGCTTCGGCTTCGTTAGTTTGATCATTAGTAAAACCAAGCTTTAAGTTTAGGTTTCTTGATTTCGCTTTAAAAAATCCGTACAGTGAGGAGAAATGATATTTACTTAGTGGCAGGGAGATGTTATTAATTTCTCCTAATTGATAAATATATACAGCTTTACTTGATTTTAATATTAGGGACTCGATACATAACTGCGAGAAGCCCTCAACAGCCTCTCTCTCATAAAGACTAAGGCACTTAAGTGCTTCGTTAGGATCACTGCTTACATTATAACATTACACATTTGTTCATGAAACAATTTTTGAAATGTTCAAAATGTAGGAGATGAAGTAAGTATAGTAGTTGGAGCAGGTGTTTGTCAAGAGAAGCACCATGTATTGTTGTACATAATGTGAGACATCATCTTATTATATTATCATATTATTTAGTTGTGAACGATTGTTGCTCATCGTAATGTTACGAACTTGTGTTCGTCTTTTTCAAGGTCGCATTCCAAACTTTTACTTTAAGCTTGTGGATTTACAGCGACATTACACTGTTGGACGCGCTGTCAATACACTATTAAATACAAATCCAAGTGACCATGAAGGTATATTGTAGTTATAAAGTTTGTTATTTGAAATCTACGTTTCCGAAGTTTGAAACGTTCAATGATAAAATTGACAATTTTGAAAGCTTTTAAAGTTATGCCATTTTCCCCTCAAAAATGGTATTCGAATTGCGTAGCCAAAGTACCATTTGACCAAAAACCACTGACGTCACTTTGGTGACATTAAATCGAATTCAGTATGGCGAATAGTATGAAAGATACGCGACACCGAGGGCGATATTGTGTCGCTGGTGCCCCGGCTCTGACCAGCAAAACTGTCAGAATAGATCGTTCCGGCACCGGGCATAGAATGTTTCAGTTCCCGAACGATCCCGACTGTGAGAGGAAAATGGGTAAAATTTTTCCGCAGACAAAGACACGATTTTAATGATCCAACTAGGCAGTAAACGTCGCTTTGTTGGGCAAATTTTGAAGAATTATGCTATGAGCGAAACTTGTCCATACTAAACAGCATGATGGAGACTCAAGGGATGAAGATGAAGCACTTTTTGAGAAGCGACACTGAGCCGACCAGGAACATTAGTTTTGTGCGTGGTGTAAACTAAATTTTAGTGTTTCTGCACCGTATCCTTAAATTGTTTTCTATTTTTCTCTTTGCATACTAATACTTTTTTAAAAAGTCATTGCAAACATTCAGCTCCTTTAATGTACGAATAACTTAAAAGAAACCCAATTGAAATATCCTTAAAGGCCGCAGATACAAAAGTAAGTAGGGTTGAGTGAGGTAATTTCCAATTGGACTGTTTCTCAGTTTTTGAACCTTTGCTTTTGTGGATCCCTTTACAAAGAGCTCAACCAAAAATATAGAGCTGGAGCCGGATCGACCATCATTCATAATTCATGTTAATTTTTTAACTGCATCTTTTAACTGTAACAAAGTCAATTCCTCTATGGAAACGAAGGAAACTGTGGTTTATTTCATTCCTTTCAATAGGAAGACAAGGAGTTTTGACACCCAGCTGTAAGTATCTATTTTTCTGAATGAAAGACAGTTGAAAGATTAAAAGGTATTGGCGATCTCCTTTGTCTGTCGCTGGTGTCTACCGCTACTTGTTGTGAAATTACTTGATTTGTTTGTAATCACTCTTCCAAAGATAATTAAAAGACACATTGTGATGTATATCCTCCCACGAATGTAAAAAAAAAAAAGAAAAAAAAAAAAAAAAAAAAAAAAGGTGAAACTCCTTTTTTTTAGCTATTAAGACACTTCTGTGAAGGACTAAAAGAAAAAAAGGGCTATTCAACTGAATTACACTCAACTCCTCCTTGGATCTAATTGTGGAGACAACAAGTTTTGACACCCAGCTGTAAGTACTGATTTTTCTTGATGAAAAACAAATCATGGCGAGTTCTTTTCATTGTTTCTAGTCTCTTCCAGTTTAATTGCTTTTAGTGATATTGAAGAGCAAGGAAAAAATTGGAAATGTCGGAGGAGGCATCCTGGCACATATGGAGTTACAATAGCATTGAGAGGGGATTTAAATTTGATAGAAGACCAGGAGGACTCATCAACAAGGAAGACAATTTCGGAGAGTATAGCTGCAACGATATAAATCAGGATCACAGTTGCTCGTTCTCAACTGATTCCTCAACCCAGCACTGGTTTGGAGCTAAAGATGACGTGTAACTTTTTGTGGATTCATTTTCTTCTTAAAAAAGGAAACTCAGCCAACAAAATACGACTCTGAGAAACCATTGGAGCAAGGCTAAGAACAAACAATGACATCATATGTATGCTTTCAAGTGTGGTCCACCTTAGGGGTTGAACTTGAACTAAACGTTTAACATTTCATATAGTTACACTGACTCTTTATCAAAGAGCAATGTAGACAAACACGAGAGCTACGTCGTAGGCAACCTTAAATACTCAGCATCCATATTTTAATAGTTGAATTTTGCGTTTTTAGGCGGTCTTTCCACAAACACTTTTACTTTGACTTTCACTATTCATGTCATGCTCCATACATAATACGCTTACAATTTAAAAGTAAAAAGCTCGATAAAATCGTCTTTCTCACATTCTTCGTTTAAAAGTCGTTTACTTCCAATCTTTGAAATTTTTTGTTCAGTGAGAAAAAATCTAAGTATGAATGAAATAAAAACTTCATATCATGAAAAACGCGATTCATCAAAAAAATTTTTTGTTCGCTGCGCTCACTGGTTTTTTTTTTTTTTATGGTTTATTGCAACCCGTGAATAAAAATCGTTCGTACGCTCTTTCCAAGGAATCATCTCTACGTATCTGAGATAGTTCTCGTTTTCAAAGCTTAATTCAACGTGCTAGTAATCATTGGAACGAAACCTTTTAACTTAGACTCGCATTTCATTTTTGCATTTTAGCGGTGGCAATGTAATAATGACCATGAATTTCTATAGTAATTGTAGTCTTGAAAGCAACTGAGACAATCAGTCGTTTGTATTGCTTGGATCAAATCAACTCGGGGACATGTGTTCTCTGGTAGAGCACTTTTAATGAAGACTTTCGTTGATATGTATTGACTGAAGTTGGTGCAAGTTAAGATTGACGGTCATTGATATTTAACGCCATTTTTCCGTTATGTAGTTGGAAAGACAAAACACTGTGGATCTTGTCACATATCCTTTTACGATATTGCTCACTGATCGCCCTCCTGGGCTTTCTTCAAGTGTAATTTGTTCCTGTTTTGTGTGTTGATAAAAACACCCCGTGATAGAAGAAGGTGTTGTATGACATACACTCTCGGGAAATAGACAAGAGGAGAGATTCAAACTGCCGTCTTAGTTAAACCAATGTCGAAATTCTGCACAAACCCTAATAAAATCTTTTGTAATTTTGTAAATTCTATGAGTGACATCTACAATCATACACCAGTTTGCTGTTAATGTAACCAAAAGACTAATTAACTCGGGGGTGAACACGCACAATCGTAATCCTATTCTGACTCGTATTGTTCTCTATTGAACAAGAGCTGCCAGATTTCGGTCCAAAAACACGGTAACTCCATATTCTGAATGGCTACATTGTACATGAATAAAGGGGGTAAGTTTCTTAGGAAACTGTGGTGCTGCGTCGGTGGGAGAGTATAACAGGTAATTTAGAGTTAACAATTGAGTTGAAAACGTAAATTAGCCACCATAAAGGGTAAAAAAGCTGACGTTTTGAGCATTAGCCCTTCGTCAGAGCGATCGGAGGAATTGTGGGTTGTGTGTGGGTTTATATGCAAGTGAAGCTACGCCATTGGTGGGAATGTCCTCACCATATTCCCACCAATGAACAACTCAGTAGTTAACACTAAATTACATTGTACATGTGTGGGTGGTCGATTAAAATGCACAGAATTATTTGGTATCCAGTTCAAACGCACGCAACGTTGACATGTTACGCATCAATAATGGCGAAATAGAAGATGAAAGTCTCTGAATTGGCTGAAAACCTTTATAAACGTAGGGCTCGACAGGTTGACGTGAGCCGATCCGCAAATAGGGACTTTAGGGACGACGACGGATGTCTACGACGGCGAGCGGAAGTTTAAAATATTTGCCTGCGCATTTCCGGTAGCCGGCGCGCTAAGTTTCCCGCCTTAACTGTGTTGTCTGCGACGTCAAAACGAAGTGTTTGTCTTTTTCCTAAAACGTAAGTAAGTAAACATAAGTAACTTATCGTATATTTTCAATAAATGATGAACTGTCAACATTTTTCCAAACTTGTGACAAAAGTAAATGGTTCTAGAACTCATTTTAAGGTGAAAACTGACCGAAGTTTCTTTCTCCCTCTAAACAGCTTCAAAAGTTCGTGACTGAAATAGGCCT